GGAAGGTAGAGAACTTAAAAAGTTTATTAAAAATATGGGGTTAAATTTTTTTTTTTTAGTGGTTTTTTTTTTTTTTTTTTTTTTTTTGAAATCTGCAAGGGTATATTCAATACCTCCCAGGTACCTCAGAATTTTTTTTTCTTTTTTCAAGCATATATTTTCTCCACCTCTCCCCACCCTCCTGTGTTGGCTGGCCCTTCCTTGACATTATCGCAGATGGCTGACCTTGTTTTGTTTTTCTTTTTCTTTTTTTTTCCCCTAAGTTCTTACTTTCAGACATAAAGATTGTTAACATCCCTTAATGGCTGGCACCAGAAATAATGATACCCAGAGAACAAGCAAACTCTGGTGTTGTGGAGGACCAGCAGACATCCTTACTGCCTTGACTTCCCAACCATAATTCTCCCTTTCTTTAAAAGACCCATAAAAAGCCCTTACCCTTCAGGGCTGATGCAACTCTCTGCCCCTTTCCTTTTTTTTTTTTTACTTGAATCTGTAATTTCATGATACCGTCACATGTGGGAGCCCCCACCAATCCAGTTCCAACATTCTTAGACGTCTTGTCAAGGGACCCGACGTTCCTAGAATTTTCATAATGATCAACAACCTTCTTGTGATAGAGCCGGGCGGGAGCTAACAGCTCCAGAGGGGGCAGGCGCGGGCTCCTGAGCAGAAGGGCGGAAGCCGCTCGCCTCAGACAGCCGGCTCCAGCTGCCGCCATCTTGCCAGCTTCTTTCCTTTCTTAGAATAAATCTTTTCTCTTACTCTCTGAGTCTGTGAATTCTTTCATGGCCTGTAGCACCAGCCACCCTAACAAAATCCATGTGTAGTTTAAAAAAAATTTTTTTCATAATTCACATTTTATATGAACTTTTTAAAGACCCCTCACGACACAAAAAATTATGTTGTTTATCTGAACTTCAAATTTGACTGGGTGCTCTATATTTCATCTGGCAGCTGTAGTTAGGAGGCAGTGACAATGGTGGTGGCCCAAACCCGGGTGGTAGCAGTGAAGTTGGTTATATTTTGCATGCAGAGACAACAGGAGTTCCTGGTTCCTGATAGGTTGATTATGAGGTATGAGAGAAAGAACAGAGTCAAGAATGACACCAAGATTCTTGGCATAAGTCTTAAGAAGGCGGGAGTTGCCACTACTAAAATGGAGAAGGTTGTAGGTGGAATGTTTCAGTTTGGGTGAGGAGGGGTACAAGAGAGAGGTCAAAAGTTCATTTTTTAGAAAAAAGTAGCCAGCAGACATGTGCACTTGCAGGAAAGATACAGAAAGAGAAAGAGGAAAAGCAAGAAAACATCCCTTCATGGGGGATGGTCATGTCACAATCCCCTCTCCATTTCTCCCTCCTTTTGGGATTTTGGGCACCCATGCACACACATATGCACGTGCTATGCATTTTTCAAGCCCCTGAGTCTGAAACCAAGACCATACAGTTGGCTATGTGGGGTCCAGCCACCCTACCCATCACATGTGGGCTGGTCCTAAAACTTCAGATTTAGACATAATTCTATATCTATTAGATATCCAAGAGGAGATGTCAAGTAGGGAACTGTATATATAAAATTCAAATTCAGGGAAAATGTCTTGGCTGAAATGGTAAGTTCATTTCAAAAATGCAAAAGAAAAAAAAAAGTTTCAGGAGTGATATTTTATTTCCCATATGCTGCGGCACTATATGACCTCTCGTTATTCTCACAATAATCCATGTAATCTGCAGGTTATAGCTAAAGGAAGCAAAGTTTCTTGGTTAATTGATGTGATTACTTTGTACAATGCCAACTTTGGTACACTGAAATTATATTTCACAGAATTCTCTTCCCCATATGGATTGGGTGAGGATTAGGCACTGTTAAAGTGTTAACCTGAAATAGAGTGGTCTGACCCTTGCCTGTCAAGTAGTTTATTGAAGTCAAAATACGAGCGTAGTTATCCAGGGAGCAAAGGTTTTCAGCAAGCTGCAGCCCGTGCTCTGAAATAGAGCATTTGGGAAAATCAACATTGGTTTACAATAATAGCACAAACTTCTGATTGGCTTTTGGGTGTTTCATTCATTCATCATACATGTAACATAGCTACAGGCAGGAGATGGGATTACAATGAACAATATGCAGTTTGTGGTAACAGGGTAATTTTGTTTAAGTGGTAGCTAGTCAGGCACTTTTTTGTTAAAATGTGTCCTTGAACAATGACTTCAGTCAGGTATGTGGGGACATAACAGAGGTTTCATACTCTTATCTCTCTGAAGCCACTTTTAGCCGATCTCCTCATTCCTTAGATGGCTTTTGTGTGCATGTGTGCTAGAGGGTGAGTGACCTCACCAGAGAGAGACAGAGAAGAGAAAGCACCTGCCATGGGGCATGGTCACACTGAAATCCCTTCTCCTCCATCTCTCTTTTTTTCAGGACTTTGAGCATGCATACTCACTAGGTGTGTTTCACAAGCTGGCCCGTTAGGATTTAAACTGCAGCATTGGTCATGTGGAATCTGGCTGCCTTTAACCATCAGGCCATGGTACCAGCCCAGTGGCTGTTTAAAATAATTAATTAATTAATTAATTTTCAATTTGGTCAGAGAGAGACAGAGTGAGAGAGAGAGGGAAAGTGAGAAAGGAAGCCACCAGGTTTGAGACGCAAAGTGTGGCCGGCCATGTGGGAGTCCAGCACCCTGAACCACCACACAAACTGCCAGCCTTGGCTTTTTTTTTTTTTATAATTGCCAAAAGTCTCATGTGCTGAGAGATAGAGGGAGAGGGAGAAAGCACCTAGTCATTGGGGTGTGGCCATGCCTCAATCCCTTCTCTCCATTTCTCTATCCTATTGGGATTTTAGGCATGTATATATACATATGTCCAGTGTGTTTTTCGAACCACAGGGCAGGAATTCAAATTGTGGTCAGCTATGTGGGATCTGGTTTCCTTAACCACTAGGTAACAGGGCCAGCTCCTCGAGGGCTTTTTAACTATTTTCTTTCTCAGAAGCTTGCTTACCTTCTTGCTGATCTCTGGTTCACCTGTTCGTGTGGGTCAGCATCTGGGTCTGTGGCTCATTAGCTACCACCAGACTTTCTCTTTCAGCTTCTTTAAGCCAGGAACAAGTGTGAGTGCAGTTTTGTGATGAAGAGCACGATCTCCTTCAGACACACTCAGGATTTGAATTGGAACCAAAACCCAAGAAAGGCTGTTTTTCCTCCTGGGTTTCTGTTGTCTGCGTGGGTTTCAACTCATTCTCACAAGTTTGAGTTTGTGCCTGCTCTCATTAACATCCACCTTTTTTCCCTCCCAGCTATGCTGGCTGACCTATAGCCACTGCAGATTCAACACTAGATTCAGAGGCAACACCTACACCAGCTCTACCAGCCCCCATACTGTGTAAGGTCTGAGCCCTATAAGAAATACCTTATTTGGGCCAGCTGGTGGCATGGTGGTTAATTACCTTGACATCTCCTCTTGAATACTTAATAGATATACTAGAATTATGTCTAAAACTGAACTTTGGGGGCCAGTCCATGATGTGGTGATTAGGGCAGCTGGATCCCCCCTGCCCAATGGTGCAATTTGAGCACTGAACCTTGAAGCTTGCAAAACACACCAGGTGGATGTCCCAAATCCCGAAAGGAGAAATGAAGAAAGGATTGCAATGTAACCACATCATGGA